CAAACTTGTTGAAGCTTGGGTCCTAATTGTGCATTAAATACAACTGATTAAAGTCACAAAAAGGATTATTTCTATAACTTATTTGTTGCCAAATTATGTTACCTAAGAATAAAAACGTAATTCAAACTTTAAAAAACAGCATTGATTTAAATAAGTTATTTCTAACTAAACATTTAACTAACTGAAACAAAATGAAGCTAGTTCATAGATGTTAAATGTCAGTTCTAGTTTTCCATACCGAGATCTTATATACTTTTAGCGGGTAAAAGTCATGTAGTGCTTTTCATCTATTTATCCTGTATATTATTGATACTTTTCCATTGAGTTCATCTCCCGGTAGGACATCGGTAAGTCTTAAGATTTTCAACGCTAGAATCAGGGGTTCGATTCCCCTCGGTGGATGCACCAGATAGCCTGATGTAGCTTTGCTATAAGAAAACATACACACACTCCACTGAGTGCAGGTGTATAAAAAGAGTACAAACATTTGTACTAAAATGCTGCACCCATAACGAATCTGAAATGAAATTTACTCTAAAGCAGATTGCAATATTTGTCATGTTTTTTCTTATGTACTTGTGTACACTAAACATCTAAACCAATGAATGGTGAGGTTACAGACTTGGTACCACCGAACACTCGGTGCACTTTCATCTGTGAGTATTTGGTAAAAGTAACAGACAATAATATTACTTGGTTCAAAGAACTAGATCAACTCCTTGAATGTGTCAGGTATTGCTTCCTCCTGGTCAGTAGTTCAAATTACGGACAGCTATAGCTGTCTAATGGATTCCCGACTTTAATGTTTAGCCTAAGCCACATAAGGGTTTAGATTGAAATTTCAGTTTTATTCTGCGTGTGTGAAGGCAATGGTATCACTATTATTTTGGTCCAAGGAAGCAAACCTGAACTTGGTACTGGTAATATTCCTTATGGAATGTAAATAAGGGAGAGAACATTTTTTAAGTTTCCTGGAGAGAAAAAGAAGGGGGGGATGTCCCTGTGTAATATTGTAAAAATATTTTCACTCTTGACATTTCCCTTATATTGAAACCGTTCCAATACATAATGGTATTTTCTCTTCTTGATATTAAATGAACACGAGTCATCCCTTGGAGAAAGACTAGCAGGTAACTATAAAGTGTATGGACGTCATGATGTAAGAATGATTACTTAGGGTTGTAGATAACTCGGATCATCTCCACAGAGTGATTTAAGTTTCCGATATGTAAATATATAGATCTTTTAATGTACGTTTTCTTCCACAGTACATGCAATATATTCTTCTTCTTCTGGTTTAATGCCATTTTGTGGCCTGGTGGTTGTAGACATAGTACTAAAATAAAGACTAATTTTTTCTTTAAAACATGCTTTATCAATAAAAAATAAAGTTCGCAATCGATGTGTTCGAAGGAAAACAAAGTTTGATGATAAACAAGATTACGACACTTATGATATACAGCATTGTTCAAAACTACACAGAAGGCTAATTGTGTATAGATGTCCCAAATTCTGGACTGAGACTAGACGGAAAGCAGCTAGTGAAAAGCACACAATGTCAATTCTGCTTGACTAGTGTCATTTCACTGTCATTCTCACAGTGTACCCACAGCCCTCGAGTGCATAGCTTTTTTTTGTAGTTATGGGTCATGAATCATAAACCCTTGGATTCACATTTCTGGCCTACTAAACACTTGGCCATCCCTAGTTGTTTGTATGAGTATGTAATCACTGAACAGATGACAAGTTAACATGATTATGTTGCAGAAGGTTAACCAGTAATTAAAAGCTTGACTCTTAGATTGTTCTTCAATAAATGATCGACATTATTTTAAAATGTATTTGATTTCTTATCTTTTTTACAGGTTTTATCAGAAGTGTGAGTGCAGTTTTGACTTTTTCACCATTCTGGAATGCTAGGTAAGCTACTAAGCAACACCCATTCCTTCTTGTACCCTGTACAGTTGCAGAACTCA